AGTGCCGAGGCAGAGCTGGTGCTGCAGCAGTGGAGCCAGGGTTGTGACCAGTGGAGCCAGGGCAGGGCTGCCCGCAGCTGAGAGCAGGAGAGCGGTGTGGGTGGAGCAGGGTCCAGAACCGTGCTGTGCTTGACCCAGGAGCACTGCACACCCCGTGCAGCTGTGTCCCCACTGCCCCCTGTGACTCTTCTTCCAGGTGGACATTTTGTTAGCAAAGGAAGCGAACCACAGACTGAGAGGGGAGAAGGAGGAGCTGGAAAAGCAGCTGGAAGCAGCACGGAAGAGGGACCTCTGGGAGGATCCAGCAATGGTAACAGCGTGCTTGGATCTAGCGATGGGCACGAGCCTGGCTGAGGGGCACTGGTTGATGACTGACCCAGCTCCTGCGAGCGGGTGTCTCCTCTGCCAGGGCCTGGAGCTCCAGCTGTGGCTTTGGGACTCCAGGCACAGATGAAGCCTGGGCAAGACTCCTGAGTCTCTCCAGATGCTGATTTTGAGCTGTGAGCTTGTTTCGAGTCTGTCAGGGGTTGGCAGGGGGTCTAGTCTCCTCCAGGTGCTGTCTGTACTCCAACCTAGATGCTGCCTGCCTTGCCAAAGAAGAAGATGGTGTTTAAGGGACTTGTGACAAACAAGGAGGACATGAACAAGCTGATGCTCACCCCACAGATCCGCTGCCCTCTGCTTGGTGGCTCAGCTCTCATCACCTTTGAGAAGGCAGAAGGTAAGAGCGAGACAAGCGCAGCCACAGCTGGCTGTCCTGGTTGATCCACCTTGGGTCTTGTTCTGTGTCCCCTCTGTGGTGTCGTGTGGGGCTCTGCCCCCTCCCCAGAGTGGTGGCTGCCCCCTGTCCTGTCTCATGGTGCTCGGAGCTGGCAGTTGACCCCTGTGCTGGGGGCTGTCCCTGCTTGCAGTGGCACAGAGAATCATAGAGATGAAGGAGCACACGGTGGAGCTGAGCTGTGGGGAGGAGCTGGAGGAGCCGGACCGGTGCAGAGCACGCGTGCAGGCAGCGCCGGTGGATGTGCTCCTGCCGTCTGCTCTGGAGGTGGGTCCTGAGGGTCCCCTGCTCCCCCTAACACTGAGAGCCACAGAGCCCTGAGCTCAACCAGCCTGGCTGTGCCCTGCCCTGCCACTGTCCATGCTTGCCTCTGTGGGTCACTGGTGACCAGCCCGTGCTGCCACAGATCGGGCTGACTCGCAGCAGCCGGAGCATCCTGGTGTCGGACCTGCCCAGCCTGGACATCCCTGAGGAGGCACTGCTGGACAAGCTGGAGCTCTTCTTCAGCAAGACAAAGAATGGGGGTGGTGAGGTGGAGAGCAGGGAGTTCCTGGATGACACCAGCCAGGTGGTGCTGACCTTTGCGCAGGATGGAGGTGTGTGGGGCTGCCAGCAAGGGAGGGAGCAGCCCAGCCAGCTCGGGGGGGCACAGGTCATCTCCCCAGAGCAGACGGAGCCATGTCTGTGGGGAAGGGGGAAGGCAGAGTGAGCCCAGGCTGTCCTATCCCCCTGGGCCTGTGCTGGTGTCCATGAGCTGGGACATCCCCTTACCTGGAGCAAGGGCCTGGCTCAGGATGGCTCAGAGCTTTCCTCTCCATCTGCAGTGGCAGAGCCACTAATTGCAAGAGGACACATCTGGGTGCTGATTGGGAAAGGAAAATACGAGCTCAAAATATCCCCGTGCATGAGAGGAGATGTCACCGATGTGCAAGTAAGGGCATGGCCCCTGGTGTCAACCAGCACCCACCAGCCCAGGTTGAGTTTGCAGGGTCTCCTGCAGTCCCCGCAACCATGCAGCCCTTGTGAAGTCCCTGCTCTCCTGCCTCACCACTCTCT